ATTTTTACAAACTTAAAAAATCATGAGAATCTGTAGGTACCAGAGAACACCCCAAAATACATTTTGACAAAATAAACCATCAAGCCTAAATGCATGAGTTTTTGGCTGTAAAAAATCCATATGTGGACATAAAATAGAATATAGATCTCTTTATATAACTTTCATTATTATACACAGATCTGTCTTCTGATTCAGTTCCATGGGTTACTCGACAAGAAGAAGAAAGTCAAGCTAAAGATGGTCAGATCTATTTTTAATCGCAAACATAACAATTGAATAAGAACATTTAGGGTGGAGTTGACTGTCCTACCCTTGATTATTTGAAATAATATGCATACCAATTCAGTTCACTTGCGTGGACAAGTCAAAATTAACCAATTACAGTATCCTCTTTGTAGTAAGATAGGACGTGGTATAAGTATATTGACCCCGTGGCACTAAAAATAGTTATGTCTCTGAAACGGAAGGCCCTTTTCTAAGCAAAAATAATGAAATGCTATATACTATACAGGGTGGCATTGAAATAAGTGCAAATATTTCAAACCCTAGGAAAACTCTACGCAAACTATCGCATGGCACCAATAAAAAAATATAGGGATCGAAATAAAATTTGGGGTTAGACCGCTCTTTCCACCAGAATTTTTACACTGTAGCAATTCTGACGTCATCCCTGTTCAAATTTTCATGCCGAAGGCACATTCACGTTTCAAAGTGGCGTATTTGAATTGTTTCTCGTTTTTTATTCAATTTTCGGGATGAAATTACTCGTTAATATTTCGTTATTTGAAAAGCACCCTGTATATTTGGATTTCGTACCAGTCTATCAATAGTTGATTCCCAGGATAAAACAATAAAATGTTTACTAAGTATATAATTTCAGGAAAATTATAGTTAAGGAAGTAACACATTGAATAGTCAAAGATATTGAAAAGTTATTGCTTCATGAAGTTCAAGTTAAATAACCACGAGTACCTACTCATATATTATATTATTATGAAATGTGTATACGTTGGGTATACTTACATGCTCATTGTGAATTGGGAAAATTCAGTTACCATGGTAATGAAAAAATCTAAGGCATTTTAGATTTTTGACTTGGATTTGTTATAAACTGCACCACATTTGAAGTGAGACAAGAAACAATTTCTATCATTTTCCAACTGTCATAACTTTGGATTCGATCAACTAATTGTCAATTTCTTCCAAGATTCTGATAGCTCATTTCATTGAGTAGGAAAATTATCGAATTGCATATTTTGAATATCCGTGTATCATACTCTAGCTTGTAGATCTTAAATGGCTGCTATCGAATATTCCCCAGATTATTCCACTCAATTCAAAACACACATTTTTGATTGGTTGAAATATCTCTTTTGATAATCGAAAACCGAGTCGAAAACTAGATGTTTTCAATTTTTCATTTCGCAACTTCATTGGTAGTTTGATCAAATATGGAACAAAATGACATAGAATATAACTACATTCAGCAGGCTGTCATGGACATGAATGTCTTAATATTTTCATATTCCTCAGGGATGAATAGCACTCAACACTAAACTACAGACAAAATAGTGATAGACACTGAATTTCAACGAAAAATTCTAGTATGATCGGCATTTTAACCAAACATTTTTAATATCATCCTAACTGTTGAATACTTAATCTGATGATATTATGAATCACTATGTATTATATTTGTTATCATAGTTGTGGTGTCAATGATTTATTGATAATTAAAATATTCAACTGTTAGTGTCAATCAATTTTCAATAATAACTTGAAATCTCCAAAAGGTTATGGGCCCAGAATGCATAGACAGTTTCTGTGCACTTTGGTTATCATTATACAAGGTGATCTGCCTTTGCGGAGTATATGGCTTTATCCGAAGCAGCCAAAGAAGCTAAAGAAGCTAAAGAAGCTACACATCTGCAGAGACTAATGTCTGAATTTATGGGAGAAGAAAGGCAGATCACCTTGTATAATGATGACCAATGTGCACAGAAACTGTCTATGCATTCTGTGTTTCATAATAGATCGAAACACATTGATATCCGGTACCATTATATATAAGGTAAGTCATTGAAGAAAAGCACTCAAATATTTGCCAACTGGAGAAATGATAGCAGACATTTTAACTAAGAATATAAATGGTCAGAAATTTTTACAATGTTCAAGACATGGGTGTATCAGATTACGGGGGAGTGTTGAATACCTAATCTGATTATATTATGAATCACTATGTATTATGTTATATTTGTTATCATAGTTGTGGTATGTCAATGATTTATTGATAATAAGAATATTCAACTGTTAGTGTCAATCAATTTTTAGATCTTTGAATAAGAATATAACTTGAAATCTCCAAAACTAACTTCTCACAACTTGACACTAGCGTCTAGAGATCGCTTTCCGGCCGGAATTTTCGGATCTTTTTGGAAATGTTCAAGGTTTGAATTTCATCACATATAATTTTATTTAAAAAACAGTAATTTCTATTTAGGTAAAATTAATGGTAATTAACACTCTGCATACTGTAGCTCGTTTTAAAAAAAGTTGAAATAAATCAGCCTCAATATTTTCAATGTTTTACGTATAAAAATAGGCATGAACGTATATATTAAATTTAGGTCCCGATCCGGCCGGAATTACTCGGGAATTACGGTTCCGGCCAGATCGGTAAAATACCCGATCCGGTGCATCCCTAATACAGGGTATCTATAAATAGTATAAATGATCGTAACATCGTAGTGATTGTTGAAATAGTTTTTCCATGTGCCGCTTTCTGCTTATGTTGTTAACAGGCATTGAGGCGGGCATTGAGGCGGGCATTGAGGCGGGCATTGAGGCGAGCATTGAGGCGAGCATTGACGCGACCGAATGCTTGTGTTACAGGTGGTTACAGTTCGATCTCCATAAGTGAAAGCGGCAAATAAAATATTCATAATGCTACGATCATTTATGGAGACACTGTATTCATAAAAAAAACAAAAATTAACATGAAAAAACTCCTTATTTGCATGGAACACAAAAGAATGATCTGATATAAAAGTTAATTTTCCTTTTGTGGTTTTCTGATAGGTTATGAACTTGTTTTTAAACATTTTTGTTGTTCCTAACTTTTATCACAACCACCAATGACCTCGGAAAGTCGGCAATGACATCGCAGTTTCTCCAATATTGGAAATAATATGTGCACGCTTTCTCAAAGTAGTTGAAAAGCTCTAGGTCATCACCCCACAACTATAATAATTGTGGACTTGTGGAGATGACTTGGAGTTTTTGCGGTAGTCAAACGATAGCGTGCACCAGAGACCGGGTACAGAACACAGATCACCAAACCACGCGGGACACACGTGGCAGAAAAACAATAATAAGGTAGGTAAATAGCCAATACCTTCAGTTGGCGCGGAATCAAGTCTACAGAAAACTTCCGGCCGAGAGCAAAAAGAAACATCACTGAAATAGCGAATCACTATCGGCCTCAACAGTAAATGCATCTACTGTAACTTTTTCACGGCGGAAGAAATATATCCCTTCTGCATAAGAAGTCTAACCTTACTCGGCCTAAATGAAACTTCTTCCGGAAAAGTATATTTTACGGAAAATCACTTCAGAAAACGCAAATCTCACCACAAGGATTATTTGCTGCACCCTGTCTCTAGACATTTCTGTCAAGTGGAAGTTATAGTGAAGTCTTGTTCATTCGCGCATGCGTATTCTGATCATAATATAATGTTTTATTAATTTGTTTGATGAAATGTGCGTATCACCATACCGCATCTCATAACTATTATTGAACCTCGTATTGAACATCCGGCAACATTGCTTCCGGTATTTTTGACCTCGCTGAAAGCAAACGCTTGGGTTCGGCAAGTAATATCTGATCAATGATTCACAGACGTTTCAGGCAAACTTCTCTCTGTTCTGTTTTTTTTTTCGGTTTCTTTTACCTATTTTATTTATGGTTCCAATTTCGGAGACACTCTGTATAATGAAATAATATATCAGTCAGAATTCTGGAAGTGTTTTGTGTGTTGGAAGTTGGTGTAGTTTGGTCACAGAATACTCAGTGTATACTCACATCAACTCAACATTCATGATGATTGTAACATTCATGTAGGCATGGAAGGCGAGATGAAAGGTGAATAATATAAGAATTTTACATGATTTTACTAAGATCAATAATGATTGCCATCTCTGGAAGAATGCATAGCCCAAAAAAATGGGATTCTGGGTATAGTCAATTATTAGTCAATCAAATGGGGGGGGGACCTACGACTAGACAATTCATTGAGAATTTCAATGGTTTCAACATATCCAAGAACCAAATAGTGACAACTCTAAATTCATCATGTTTATCGACTAACAGATTCAGAAGATTATCTTCTGCAGAAAATTTCGAAAGAAGTATAAACCATGATGCACTATAAAAAATGGTTCCTGATCCTGAATAATGCATCATCATCCTCTCCGAATGGGCTATAATAGAAAAGTTCATTCAATCTGAAAGGCATATTTATTATACAGATGACACAGGGTAATTATCTCCGCGATAACTTTTCTGTTTTCAACTCGGTTTTCAATGAAAGGAACAATAGGAAGATATAAATACAAAACACTCTATAAAACATGAATTTGCATTCTTCTACATCAGATGTCTCAAATGACCTGTCATTTTTTAGTTCTTCTCGAAATCACGCTCGGAATCACGGTCAGAATTCACACAAACAAAATGTTTTTATTATTGAAAACTCCTTGCAGAGACTCCTCTGAGACACCTCTGAGACACTCTGTATGTATATGTATACTATGAAATCGTATTCAACGACTCATTGTCTTGATGACATGCATGCTAATCACAGTGATCACATGGTCCTTGGATCACGTCACAAACAGGCGCTTACACCTACAAATGAGTAATCAGACGGAGTCCCTCAAGGTTACACTTACACCCAAGCAAATCGGAATGTAGGTTGTAGGTCAAAAAGAGCTAATCTCACCTGTCTTCTAAATGCATCTGGCATAGTAAAAGTAGAAGAAATCCAGCAATAAGTGTTGACTACATGAGTCGGCAGCCCATCTACAATACATTGAATCGGGTTCCCTACGAATTGATTAGCAGTGATTATCAGGCTGCATGTCATCAGCAGGGCACAGGTGAACGTGTTATGCAGTCGAAAAATTGCACAGTCTGTCACAACGTCGTGGTACTTGAAGTAATTCGCAAGTCCTCCTAGCAGCTTGTACATGGTCGGGCAGTGTATTTGTATTTGTATATAGCGGTTATCGCGATTCTCCTAAAGCATGGTAAATGGTAAATCACAGAACGGTGTCACAGAATCGGGGCCAGCATCACTGATATTTTATGAAGAATTCGCGTGTATGCATCTTGATGGAATCAAAACACTGGTGTTTGTATATTCTGTTTTACTTTACGATGAATTCACTCTGTTGTGTAAGTTGCTACTGAGTGTTCCCCTCGGTTTGTGGACTCCCCACTATGGTTTACAGTTAGCCAGCTGGCTGGTCGACGGACCTGCTTCTTTTGTTCGGTGTGGCCTGCTGTGCAGGCAGACTAATCTTCGGGTGCTACACTTTTTCTGGTATTGTGGATTAGTCTAGATTCCAGTAATTATCGAGATTTTGGTGGAGGATAACAAATTCAGGTGATTTCAGCGATGGGTGAGACTAGAAGTTATAATATGTTGGAACTGAACCGGCGCGAGCACTGTCGCTGATTTCATGGGGGCAATGAGAGCACGCTCCCCCATCGACATTTTGCTATGGAGGATAGGGACGATATTCTTGTTCAACAGAAATAAATTCTGGTAGAAGTCCATGTTTGCTCAAAGTGGAGAGGAATTTTAAAAGGAGGAAGGAAAGATCAAAGTCATCTTCACAACTCTAATAATGATGTAGTCAATCAAAGGGACATGCTTCGGACTTATAAAAGTCCATCCTCAGCCGTATTTTAGAAGTTACTACAAGCAAAGGCATGTGAAAATATATATATTGTTATAAAACCATAATTGACTTACATGGAGGTGAACATTATATGTTTTTAAAATGGATGCCGATGACTGTCATCATATTATCGTGATTGATAATAAATAATTTGTAGTTTGAGAATAAACGGGTTTTCATTAAAAATGAAGTGCCCCGCCTGCCCTAAGAACGCGCACTTATGAAATCAAAAGGCAAGTCCCAGAAGGGAAACTTGGCGAGCACTCAAGGTGCTCGTACAAACCATTTTTGGTTGTAAAACATGAAAAACTAAAGGGTCCCGTACCCTTGAGAGAGCGCACTAAAAATCCAAGAATCAATTTAGAATTGATGGGGCCAAAAGCCAAAAAACGTGCTAAGTTAAACACGGAATTAATTTAATGTACCTTGTCATAAGTTGAAGTCTTAATGACACTATATCATGACATGATATGCCTTTGCTTGTAGTAACTTATAAAATACGGCTGAAGATGGACTTTTATAAGTCCTTAACATGTCCCTTTGATGGATCACAGCATTATTTGAGTTGTGAATATGACTTTGAGCTTTCCTTCCTCCTTTAAGAAATAAAGTGCATCTTTGCAATATTTGAAAACTTTTATTTGAGAAATATGATCAGAATATACAGTGTGTTACGATCCGGTCCACCCAACCCTAGGGGCAAACACGGGCAAACAACTCTTCAAAAATGGTGTACACCTTGCGTTTTCAAGTGCCTACTTGATTACTTTTATAAATCATCCCATTATTTTGATTATTTGTAAATGACCATTTCAGTATCTTCAGTATTTTCGATTATTTATCAAATATTTCAATTACCTTTTTAAGATTCTAATTATTTTTTGAGTATTAAATACCTTTTGAGTATACTTTAATAACTTTTCCAATATTTTAGTTACTTTCAGCATACATTAAACACACCCTCTATGCTTTCAGAATATTTCAATTACTTTTTCCGAGACTTTTTCAGTACAGCAATCCTATTTTTCATTACTTCAAATACTTTTGAAGTTTCCTGACCTCAATTTTGAGTTCGTATTAGAGGAGACCAGGTGGTTCACATTTCTCTTCTGCCTAAGTTCGCGTTAGTAATACTGAGTGAATCCCAGATTCACGGTGAGCACTAGAAATTTCGGGACGGTGTTTTTGTGTAGAAGTAGACGGGAGGTTGACTCTGAACTGACTTACCAATTACTAGTTTCTATTACAGACACAGTAGTAAAAAAAAAGAGTGTAATTGAACAATATACCTGTTCTCAGGAGGGCCACTAAGCTTTAGGGTTAATGATTTAAAACTCTATAGTGCAGTATATTATAGTATTAATTCTATTAACTTACTCCATTTATTTCTCTAAATATATTGAATAAACACAAAAATAGAGTTGAAAGAAACAATGTCCAATTGGCTCATTGAAAAATTGCCGAAATCTCAACTTTTTCCAATGGATCCTAGAAATTTTTTTCGACACCGTATGGAAAGAAATTAAATTTGATGATGAGTTACTGCAGCATGCCTATATACACGGTGAGTCATTGAAATGCCAAAGTGGGATAACCGAGGGGATAACATTTTCGCTGTTTGAGATACATGACAACATTTTTTGTGATGGCCAAGGCTCATGAGCAGCAAATTTCTGAGATATTCTGCGTTATACAGGGTGGCTCAAAAATGCGTGGCGTATCAAAGTTATCCTTTTTCTTATGGGACCCCTGTATTTCATTGCATTTTCGGATTCTTCTTTGTGTGCTGATTTCATTACTTGAGACCTAGCAAAAATTTTTACAGAGATATAAAATTCAAAATCGAAATTTCTCAACTTTTTTGTGTCGAAACTATTCATTATTGGTCATAATGGCTTACGTATCCCTATCTTATCTTTTGATTTACTATCTATTCAGATAGTTAATTTGAACGAATATATATATGGTGGTTCATTATTATGAAATTTGAACCACCCTTCATTTGTTCCGTTTTGACCAATAATGAATAATAACTAAATAAAACTCAAAATCATCTCCACGACAGTTTATACTATGTGAACAATGTCTCATCATGGGAAACATGTTTTCGGACATACATAATATGTCCATCAATACATAGGTCAAAGTGGGAGGAGGATTCAAACTAGGGTTAAACTTATTGAAAAATCTAGAAACCCACATTCAGACTTTTACAATACTGAAAGTTCCTTCGCTAACCATATTCTGAATCCTGACCATTCTTCCAATATGGATACTGATTTGGAACTATCTCATATCTGTCTAAAAGGGAGAGTGTTGAACTTATTAGAGATTTTTGAAATAAATGCTTCTTCACAAAATAACGATGTATTTTACCTTAATGAACAGACTCAATTTGATAGTATAAAATTGTTCAATGCATTGAATTTATGTGAATAACTAAAAATGAAATTTCTCATCCGCCTTGGTCCTCAACATAATATATTTCATAATTCCATAACTTCAATGTTTTCATACAGTACTATTCTTGTTGTGCATTCTGTATCTGTGGTCGTTGGTTGGTATCCCTGACTGTCATTGTCAGTCTCTTGTCAGTTGTCTGTGCTACATTGACATCTGTCATCATACCTGTCAGTGTTTGTTAAGTCATGGGATTTCCGTCCTCCACTACTTGCTGATTGCTACTCAAGTAGTGAATATATGGCAGTCAATATTAATTTTTACATAAATTCTTTCATTTTTATCCCGGTGGGCCTAATGCTATGGGACCGGTTCGTGTTTGACCCACCATAAATTAATGCAGGGGTTTTATAAATTTTTTCGCCTTCAAATCTAAAAATATTTCTTTTTAATAATGTTCCGATAATGTAATGTGTAACAAGTTCCTTCAATTTCAACGGAATTGCAGATAATTTTTTCACCTTCATGTAAGCGATTGTATGGTAAGAATTTCACTTTACACTCATTTTTGTCTCTTGTAGGACTAATTTCTGTTAGGCTGATGTCCGTAAACATGTTCCCCCTGATGTGACATTGTTCACATAGTAAACTGTCGTTGGAGATGATTTTGAGTTTTATTTAGCTATTACAACTACACTCCACTTCGAGAAATGTTGGACTTCTACCAGAGATTAATAATGAATAGTGTCGACACAAAACATCCTAAACTTGGAAAATCTCGATTTTGAACACCCTACACTCAGAAAAATAGTCGGTAGTGAATACCGAACGTAGCTATAATATGACGTGGAGACATTTTAAGAGGAGTGTACGGGAAATTATGCGCAAACGGGAAAGGCTCATGACTGATGGGTGAAGGGCATGCCATGTACACGTTGATTCCACGACACGTGATCGAGATTTGCTAACTTTTCTCATCCTTGTGGTGTTGAAATTTGTAAACAGAAGTAATTTGATATCATATATCCGTGCAAAATTCGCAGCTTCTATTGCCTGCAGTATCTCTAGTTGCGCCATCTTATCTACGTGTATGAGGAGAGATGACTTTTGACTTCTATTTTCTTAGTTCAAGCGAAAAAGTCGCTCTTCATTCAAATGAGTAAAACATGATATGTATACGCATTTAAATATCAGAGTATGATCTCTAAGGCAATAATCGTTTTATTAAAACTATTCAATGTGATATTGCGAACTTTTTTACAAATGTGGGCCTTTTATCCTCGATTCACCCTATACGTGGTGTTATTCAAGGTGACGAATTATCAGCCACCGACCATCAAAGACAATTGGTACATTAATTGAAATGTTATATTCAAAGTCGAATCCTGTTGTTTTTCTTGACAAACCTATTCGTAGAATATAATTAGAGAAATATGTTAGTCATTATTTAGGTAGTGGTACTGATGCACATGAGATGCACCTATATAAATCTATTCCAACAGGCATTTTTTGGGAAGAAATTTGAGAAGTTCCTTGTGTGATTCATTGATTCTATCAATCCTCAATTACTGTGACATCCTCTATGACCCATGTCTCGAAGGGATAGTACGGATTCAAAAAGTTCAGAATGAATGCGCGAGCGTGCGCGAGGTTCATTTTCGGGTTTCATTTTCGGGTTGCGGTTCAGGGACCACGTCACACCTTTTATAAACAAACTCGATTGGTTAAAAATGCACAATAGAAGAGAACTTCACCATGCCTATTTTTTACATAACCTCTTCGTAATCGTAATTCATGTAGCCCCACGTTCTCAAAAGATCCTGTAGAGATCAAAATAATTTTGATTTGTAGACCTTACGATCTTGTACTATAATAACCCGAAAAAGATTGTGTCTATCTCTTTATTGCACTATGGAGCTACAGAGCTTTTACACCCTACGTGGACACCTGATGGTAGGTAAATGGCTATAGGTAATTGGTGTAATGGTTATGTTCCAGGAATGCTATATCGTTGACCTGATGGGATAATACATGATTTATGGTCATTATTGTTATAGTATGGTTTCCATCATTGAAGAAGAATAGGGAGATTCACGCCATATCTAACT